TGTCGTGGCCTCTCTTGTTGCGGAGCACAGGCTCCAGACGCGTGGGCTCAGTAATTGTGGCTCACGGGCCTAGTTGCTCCGCGGCACGTGGGATCCTCCCAGACCAGGGCTCGAACCCGTGTCCCCTGCATTAGCAGGCAGATTCTCAACCACTGAGCCACCAGGGAAGCCCCCACTTGAGATTTTAACAGAGCTGTGAACCCTGACAAGTCATGCATAATGATTTGCAATCTCAGAGAATATTTGTTTGGTATTAAAATGCCTTATTAAATATTTCAAATTGATCTTTGGAGACTTTCGGGAAAGTCCCCTCTGTTTCTCATTGATATGTAATGTTACAAAATGTGTGCTGTTTATAAAACAGTAGTACAAAAAGAAACCACATGGAAAGACTGACACAGGGCAGTCCCAAAAGGAAACAAGACACGTTTTATTGTACAAAAGAGATCTTGAAAGCTTTTGTATGTACTTGAATCTTTTCATATTTGTTTCAAACATCAGCTGAGAGGCTCTAAACCCTAGCATGGGATTAGTTAAGTGTGCACTGTAGGAAATATTTAACGTGAAAATATTGTACACTAAATAGCCGATGAAACTTTAAGATGCAATGTTTCTGTGGTTATTGTTTTTAATGAAAACAGTTGTAAAAATTAAAAACGCTTATATAGCGCTTTTTAAAGTTTTCTTTGATTGGAAGCCAGTTATATAGGGAAGGGACTGTTTGTTTAATATCTACTGACCAAATCCATGTAATAATTTCCAGAGAAAATTAGATTCTTATTTTAATATTCTAATGGAATCATGGACTTTTAGGTATCTTTACGTATTTTTCTTTGGAAATCTAGCACTGTAGAGGATAACAATTTTCTCTTTTCTATTATGTACACAGTTAGGGCCCATAGCATGAATAAAGGAATTGAATTGTCCAATGTGGGATGCTTTTCTCAGACATAGATATATCCATACCAATAATTTCTTTTTCACTTAAACTTTTAACAAGGAATAAAAAAGTCTTTATTAAAATGACCAATGTAACTAATTAATTTACTTAGAATGCTAATAGGTGGATCACTAGTAATGCCTAATATTCAGAAAAAAAATCAAATACCATTAATTCCTACCTAATTTAATTTTATCTACTTGTGAGATTAACTTTTGATTTTATCTCCTTTTTGATGTTCTGGCATCAAATAGTCTAGGATATTATCAATCATTTTTTCTTGGCTTGTAACTTCAGACTCTTGTCCAGAGTCAAAGAACAACCATAAATTCTGGGAGTAAATGTCACTTCTTTCCACTGCAGCCGTAGCACAATGTATCAGTTTGCTAGGGCTGCTTGCACCAAAGGACCACAAACTGGGTAGCTTAAACAACACAAGTTTATTGTATCACTGTTCCTGAAGCTAGATGCCTGAGGTCAAGGTATCACCAGGGCCATGTTCCCTCTTCAAGCACTGGGGAAGCATCTGCTCCAGCCCTCTCATCCAGCTTCTAGTGCTTTGCTGGCAGTCTTTGACTTACCTTGGCTTGTGCAAGTATCACCTTGATCTCTGCCTTCATCTTCACATAATGTACTTCCTGTGTGTGTATGTGTGTGTGTGTGTGTCTGTCTGTCTCCCTCTAAATTTCCTGTTTTTATAAGAACACCAGTCATGTTAGGCTAAGGGCCCAAACTACTGCAGTGTGACTTTGTCTTAATTAATTACATCTATAATGACCCTATTTCCTAATAAAATCACCTCTTAAAGAACTGGAGTTCAGAAATTCAACATATGAACTTTGAGGGAAAACAGTCCAACTCATAACACACACCCTAAGGCATTTTATGTTATTATTATTTATATATTTCTAATGAAAAAAAAAAAGACTTTTTTTCCTTAATGTAAAAGAACTTCCAAAAGCACCAATGGTTCTTAAAATGTTCCCATCAAACATTCAAATAAACAGGAAAATAAAATAAGTATAATGTTTTCCTTTTGGTTTAGAACTCCTTGGTAGCGAATCTTTGAACAATTTATTTTCCACCCCTGCTATTTAACTCACTCCTGCTGTATTCTGGGGCAGGTTGATTTTTGGTTGAGTTGGACTGTGCATATACCTATGCTTCCTTCAACCAGCAATCTGTTTACTCAAAGTGGCAGACTGATACCTTCAGATGCCACCAAATACGATAGAGGTAATTTACTGTTCTTTGCTTTACACACAATTATAATTGCCCACTACCCTTGAGACCAACGGTACAGAGGTGTCTGTGATTGATAACGACCATACTTTTTGACCACAGTAGATAGAGAGTTAGTATATTTTCTTTCTCTCCTCTGGAACTCTTTTCTGCTCTGCCCACTTCTTTTCGGTACTTTAAACCATCACTTAGTCAACACCACCATACTACTTTTATTTCTTTTCTTCCTCCTTTTCTCCTTTTTCTTTATTTCATTTGTCACTCCACTCATGCATCGCAGCTTTCACTTAACAAGCCTGGGCTTTTAAAGACAGCTCAAGCCAAGCAGAGCACTCTTTCTTTCCTGTAATGGTCCGGCCTGTCACATTAAATGATGTGTGATCTTGCACTATTTGCCTTTCCCAGTTTTCTTCATGGAATGGTTGCTGTGGGGCTACATTAGACATTAGACATTAAAATTATTTAGACCTAAATCACTATTGTAAGGCCACAGCAAGTTTTAAAACCTGAGCATTTTACAACTGTGGTTTCTTAAAAGATGGCCATTATTTTACTGATTTCTATCTATACTGTGTTTTTTTTTTTTTGAATCCTAGTAATTCTTGTATGCCCGGTATGATCAGCATTTTTCCTATAAGATCAAAGATTTGATTGGTATAATTTTATAACATTTTAATCATAGTATGGGCTTCTTTACACATTTTAGAGTCTGATGTGGGTACCTACTACAGATTTTAGTTTCTTCAATGAGGTACCAAATGAAAATGCCTCCCTCCTAAACCAACATTTTTGGGTAAATATCTACCTACTGGTATTCTCTGAACAAGCTGGAGAGATGAATATGGGTATGGAACAGGTGTTGAGACGTCACAGAAGTCTTTAATGTTCTATAGTAATTATTATACTTAGTCATGGAAGAGGTAGTCTACATGTGACTAGCTCTGGAAAGTTTATCAAGCCAGATATCATAGTGCTATAATGAGAAAAATTATGGTACACATCCAAGCCCAAATAAGGCTGTCTAAGAATGGACTAACAGTGAAGCAATAAGATATACATTTTAAACTTTAAAATTTGAGGTCATCATAGATTCACATGCATTCATGAGAAACGATATAGATTTCTTGTACCCTTTACCCAATTTTACCCCTTGCTAACATCCTGCAAAATATCCAGTATAAAACAATATCATAACCAGGCTATTGAAATTATTTACCAATTTTATTTAGATTTCCCTAGTTTTACTTGTGAGTGTATGTATGTGTTTAGTTCGCACGTATCCATAATCAAAATACTGAACAATTCCAGCACCATCATTATCTCTCATGTTGCCTTTTTATGACCAAACCCACCCCTTTCCACTCCTTCTTTCCCAGACTCTGGCAACTACTAATCTGTCATCCACTTCTAAAATTGCATCACTTCAAGAATGTTAAATAAGTGGAATCATACAGTATATAGCCTTTGAGGATTGTCTTTTCCCCTCCTGGGTATGATTCCCTGAAGATTTATCCAAGTTAGTGCCTATATTAATATTCTGTTCATTTTTATTGCTAAGTAGTATTCCATAGTAATACTGTACCATGGTTTGTTTAACCATTTTCCCATTGAAGGATATCTGGGCTTCTAGTTTGGTGCTACTAAGAATAATGTTGCTGTGAATATTTGTAAATAGGCTTTTATGTGAACGTATATTTTTATTACTTTAGCGTAAATGCCCAAGAGTACAATTTGCTGGATTGTATGGTAAATGTATGTTTGTTTATTTAAGAATTTTCTAAACTTACATTTCCACCAGCAGTGTATGAGAGGCCTAATTTCCTGTCAGAATTTGGTGTCACCATTATGTTTTATTATCCACAATTAGAAATTTCTCTTAGGTATAACACAATCCTTTTCTTCTAAGTGTACATAATTACTAGTTATATTTTTGCTTAGCAGATCAATGTAAAAATACTATTTAGAGGCCAAAATCATGGCATTTTATTAAAAATCTTTATACAGTCATCCCTCAGTATCTGCAGGCAATTGGTTCCAGGACCCCCGTGGACACCAGAACCTGCAGATACTCAAGTCCCGTAGCTGGCCCTCCATATCCATATCCGTGGGTTCCATATACAGAAATTCAACCACAGCAGATCATAACATAGTACACAATCAACAGTTGACCGCATTTGTGGATGTGGAACCATATATATGGAGGGCCAACTGTACATTTATGTTCTACTAATAAGGATTGTCAAATGAACTTGGCATACTAAGTCTATTAACTTTTCTAGGATCCTTTGAAGGTACAGAAAAAGTTTTGCCTAAAGTTGTGTCTGAATTCCAACATAGAAGTAAAAACTTTGTAGTTAAGTAGATATTAGACCCTTAGTAGGTGTGTAAGACCTAAATCATAGACTTAACTACTAAAATTAAAAACTGAAATTTGTCAGTACCCCCAGCATTGTTCAATAGTCAACTGTACACTCTCAAAATACTTTTGATTTTTATCCCCAGTTAACACCTATTTGATTCTTGAGCATTGACCCAACCCGACGCTGATTATGTGAGGGTTAAAAGAGACCCTTTATAATGGTATCAGCATATAAAGAATCACATTAAACTATCTTAAACCAAACACTCCATTCTGGGCTCTCATTTAGGACAGTTAGTGGCACGGAAAGAAAGCAGGGACCGTGTTTGAGAGATAAATCTAAGAAATACAAGAAATTATCACTCTCCATAAGTATTTCAGCATTACCTTTTTCTGTGTACAAATTAATCATGTGTTTAATGCCATCACACACTAAAATTTGTTTTCCTGAATGCACAGGTACCTCTGTTCTACAGGTGACAGCCACTGATGCAGATGACCCTACCTATGGAAACAGTGCTCGGGTGGTTTACAGCATTCTCCAGGGACAGCCCTACTTCTCTGTAGACCCTAAAACAGGTTAGTGTTTTTAAGGATAATTTGTGTGCAGATGCATGCTACAATAAAAGAAAGCAATATTTTCATGTCTATGTACTTTTCTACATTAGACATTGTTATTTTAGCACATTAAAAAATGCCCTCACTTTTTCTAAAACAATGTGATTGCATAATTGAAGATAAATTAACTGCTCTCCTTAATATTTGATTATCCATCATTTATATCCATACAAGTAAAATGCTTCTTACATTTGCATATTTCTGTGACATTTAAATAAATGCTGTCTATTTAAAACAGAGGTTACATAACGCTTCAGCCCTCAAGTATTGTGTTACGTAAAACAAATTAACTGAGAATAAAGCCAAACACATACAAGCATTTGTTAAGGAAAAATGTGAATTCTGCTTCACCTCTTCTCTTTTCTGTAGCCAAAATAATCATATCATATTATATTATGTGATGTCAAAATGAAAATGAAGGATACTCAAAAATTCATTTTAGGGCTATGTTATAGCAGCATAGTCTAAAAACCACAAAAACTCATGGCCTTATTGACAAACAATTTGTAAATAGAAACTTGGCTAAAGCTAAATATAAACCCATTTTTAATGTAGCTAAATGTTCAGTATGAAGTGTTTCAAGTTTAATAAACAGTTTCAAGAACGTACATAATCAGGAGACACAGATGGAGCAGAGAGAGGTCCAGGATATTCCAGAAGCTTCCTGGGTCCTTTCTGGTCATGTGAGATGAATTCTGAATCAAGTTAACATGTGAGATCTTCAAGTAAAGGGCACTGCCACATAACTAACACAAAAGAGTCATATTTGGTCATAAATATCCCCTTATCCTCATATTGTTATATAGCTTACAACAATTTTTCAGGGAACCTGCTCAGTAAGTCTACAGATTACAGTTTATTAACCATTGTCTCAGGCAGTGAGGTACATCAGCTGAAATGATGCTATGGACAGTCATACTCCAATAGTTAATGCCATTAGATTGCTAGGAGGATTGTCATTTTCATGTTTATGAGAAGGTGCCTTCTCTCTTTCCCTGGTGCACTCCAACACAAAGTACACTGGGCAGGAAGAGATCTCAGACATACTGCTTAACCTCTTAAATTTCTATAATTTAAGAAGAAAAGAATGAAAAAGGTGTATAGATATAGATATGTAAATTAAGAATATACACATATATATCCACATATTATATGCATTACAATTATAAAATTAATTATAATATTTAATTAAGTGAAATAAAAAATAAGAATTGGGAGATAATAAAAATAAGTAACATAATGTGACCTAAAGTGAATATGAGATATATAAGTTCTTGTAGTACTAAGCTATTACTGAATAGTTAGAAATAAAATTGTTTATTAACCGAATAATCAAAATTCTGGGACAAAAATTATATATCTCTCTCTATATATGTATATATATACACATATATACATATATACGTGTATGTATATGCATATACATATATATATATATACATATATATATGTACATGCATGTTGTTCTGGTAGGAGACTTTTAAATTAATTGAAAATATTTTTTATTGAGGTGTATTTGACATATAACACTGTAAATTTAAGGGGTACAAAATGTTGATTTAATGCACTTACATATTGTAATATGGTAGCCATTGTAGTGATAGAAAATCTTAAGCCAAATCATTATTTGACAATAGCATTGCTCATTTTGTGGTACTTTCCCAATAACCATGGTTCTTTTATATAAGAAAGATGTGTATTTCTCACTTTAAATATGCATCTTCCTGAAGGAAAGAAATGAGGAGACCGTTCCAGTTACCTTGTTTTAGGATTGCACAAACACATGTTCATGCATGCACACACATGCACACATACCTCGATTTACTCAACTGTCCTTATAGAAAGCCAAATTTTTATTTATACATAAATATTATATTTACTTAATAGAACATGGCTAGGGTATAGACATCTTATATGGATTTTAAAACTTTCCACACACTTCTTGATCTTTTTAGTACCAAATACCAAATTCTCTGTGTTAGTGTATGTTTGAGTTATCTGTCTGAGTGTTTGCATGTGTTGGTGTGAGCACATGCAGGTAGATGTGTGTGTGTGTGTGCATGCATATTTACTTTGGACAAAGAAAGGCCACTGAGGACAAGATTTGACTAGTGTTAGACTCTGCTGTAGCTTGTGTTTTAGTGAAGCAAATACATCAAACGCAATATTCAAATAAAAATTGCATTTGGTTGTACATATTTATTATGGGTTAATTAAGTACTTCAGGAAACAAAAATAATTATCTTAAATATAAATAGGCTGCTATTCAGGTACTGCTCTATTGAAATGATCTTTGCTCCTACAATTTTTTCTTCCTTTCTTTAAGCAAAATTATTTATTGAATGAAGTGTATGCCTCCATGTTGATATGTTTTAATTTCAATATTGTATTGTCTGAAGCATCATGGGAGTCTACGGATTTATGCTCTACTACAAAGATTGTTTAAATATGCAAATCTCTTAGCCTGCTGTCTGTAGAAAGTGCTAAGAGCGATTAGAAAACAAAATGCTGAGCATTCTCTTCAAAGCTAAGACTTTTTTGGTAATTTAAGCTTAAAAGACCTCTTACAATGCAATTAAACATCCTTAGAACTAATGAATTTAGTGAAAATTGTGCCTTAAATAACTGGAATAAAATACAAACATACTTAGAACTAAGGAATCAGTTGCTATAGATGAGATGTTATATAATAAATGTTGGGATAGTAGTTACTTAAAAATGTACATTTTAATAGTAATACTTTAATTCTATCCTTTCATTTAACATGACTATATGATAACGTTTCCAATTAGTACTTTCGATGAAGACAAATTATAATAAATCAGAACTTTTGTGCCCAAATAGAGTTGTGAGTGATTATGGTTAAGATCAGGACTTTGGATTGCCTTGTTTCCATCATGTTAAAAGGTACATCTTGGTACTTAACCTAATTATCCAATGACAAGCTGCCAATGAGGCCTTGCTTCCTATTATATTAACTATGTATGAATTACTGTATCCAGAGAAAATAATTTTGTGGCTCTTAAGTCACTATACTATACACAATTTGTTTAATAAGGTATGTATTGTTTTCTACTGGAATTCCATTAATCAATATGATGAAACATAAATCTTGTGAATAATTTATTGTTTCAAATAAGTTTTGTTGCAGAAACTATTTCATGATGTTTGCTTAATGTATAACAACAAAAGAGGAATACCCATTAATGAGTGATTTAACATTAACTACTATTTGAAAGATACAGAAGGCTATGAAAAAATAACTGAGAGGACAATGAATTGTAAAAGACATATAATATTTCCAGCCAGACTCATGTAGAAATAGTGTTAATGTAGGCTTTATGAGGATAATTCTACTTAAATATATTCATTTTAATTCAGCAAGAAAACACTTTTAGAGTTATTATATGGAGGAACCATTTTAATGTTCATGCAAACTACTGACCCTAAGCAAGTTATTTTGAGGAAGGCAGCTGAGTAAGAAAGCCATATGAAGTGGTCAGAGAACTGAAGTGAAGAGAAATCTGAGCTTATGGTTGTTTATTAACACAACTCAAATCTCAATCGTACTCCAGTTAATACACTGTCAACTGCTTTAAAAATAAATTTATGTGTACAAGAACTCTTTGTTTCTTTAGAAACTACAAAATTTAGGTCAGGAGGTGATAATAGAAGCTTGATGATTGAGTTGCTATAAAATAACTACTTCCCTTGACTTAGGTCGAAGAGAAAACCAGAAACCTACCATGTTTCTTTCCAGGGTCTTAGAATGGAGGATTCACAAAAGGCAGGTATGAGGTTTTTAAATGAGAATGCGTATCTTTTAATGGTCGTGGTATTTATAGCCACTTGATGATTTTCTCCACTAGCTGTTTTATAGTCCACAACTTATGAATTACTTCTTGTTATTTTAGCTGGTACATATATGTTAAAGTATGCCTGTACCTATTTCACACGGAAATGTGTTGAATCTTCTTTATGGTCAATTCAGGAAACATGAAAACCTGGATTAAAACCTGATGTCAGGGAAAACAAGGGTATGCAGGTTTACAAAATCCTATTTATTCTTTATTTACAACTGTTTACAGTGCTAGCAGAGGTGAATACCAGCTCTTTTGACCATAATTAATATGAAACATAAATCAGTGAAAGTCAATGTTGGATTCTGTATAAATGGCACTAATAGTGGTTTTCTGCCACACACCTAATAAAGACTACTGACACATTTATTCAGTTTAATATAGATGCACTTATATTTTAAATTGTGAATCATTTTTCATACAATCTTTATTAATTTTTACTTATTTAAAATGAATATTTAATTAGAAAATATAGTAGCTTAAAACATTTCTGTTGATAAATTCTACATTTAATTTTCAGATACATAAGAATAGTAAGACTAGAAAGGCTACCTTTTAATTATATATTGATACAAAGAATATACCAGATTTTTTTCAACACTTCTAGTTCACTTTAGTACTTGAATGTTTCTGTGACATGATGTTAAAAAAGGGTAGACATTGGGTTTCAAATCTCTTGTCTGTCAAACCTTTCTGCATTAATGACATGCATTCCACAGGGAACAGGGCAGTTGACATCAAATAAAATGCACTACACCTAGTGATGCCTATTGGTTCTAAAGGCACAAATAATATTACTACTTATTTTTAAAAGGCATTATTGTAAATATAATAAAGAAATACTTATTTGACCTTCCTATGAAAACAAATATTTAGTCATGTTATAGTTTAATTAGTATAGTGAAGTAATTCATATTTATTATTTTTCTAAAATACCAAGGGTTATTCCAAAATGACTTGGGAATACTTCATGGTCAAATCTTAGGATGTACTTAGTACCATAGTAAATTTATCAAGCTACTTAAATTTTATGTTCTAGTTTCCTTGTATGTATATTTATAATGAAAATGTCGATTCCAGTGAGGAGGGTAATGCAATGCT